AGGGAAAGAATGAATTAGAAGAGGCTGGATAAGTAGGAATTATCTAAAGTTTAATGTTACTAAATTCATACTACCGTTAACATTCAGACATTTGAACATACGAATTTGAAAATTAAATTCCAAAGAAAACAGATAAACAACAGTTATACTTTCCAAGCTCTCCAAAGCTTTTCACTTTTAACACTTCTCCCAAGCTTACCCCCAAGATCTCTCCTTTTTTCCCCAAGATAAAGCAGTAGTTCTTAACCCTGGCTGCATTTTATAATCACCTGAGGAGTTTTCAAAAAATATTGAGAATCCTGAGAGAAACTAAGAATCTACTTACCAGTCAACCCAAATATCCAATTCAAATGGCAGGTAGTTTTCACTTTAAGATAATGGTATTCTCATTTACATGTAAGTCTTTCAGGTGTTTATTTAGAGTAAAGTGATGCTCCTCAACTCTAACCTTGGTCCCTCTCCCTGCCAGATATCTCTACTCAACAGCCCAGGATCTCTTTACAAACACTAATCAGATGATGTTACTCCTCTGCTTAAAGCCACTCAGTGGCTTTCCACTGCACTCAGAGTAAACCCCAAAGTCAATATTAGACACAGGGTCTGGACCCACACTAGAGTGTGGAAACTCTTCTTCAGTTTAATCAGATAATGTATTAAATGCCAAATTCTCTCCCAGCATCTCTAAAATGTGAAAATGTAGAAAAGGTCATTATGCCTACCAAGCTGGAAGCTTATTTCATTTTCCTGCTGCTTCTCATCCTTTACCAAAATTTAGTGTGAGAAATAAACTTCACCAATATTTTTTACAAAAAGACATTTTACTAATTTATGTATGATTAACTACAAAAATAGCTCTCCTAACATCAATCTGGTGCATGTCTTCAGGCCTAGTGTTAAGTACATTCGCTTTAATTAGCCCACTGCTGAGACTGGTGCAGCAACTGAGGTGACAAGCTGCTCTGAAAAGGGCTGGCAGAGTACATGAGAACAACAAGCACATCAGCTGTGCTTGCATGCAGGAGGATCAGAGCCTCCCATGCTCCCCTAAACCACCTATTTATTCAACCACTGTCCCTTGAAGTTTTAGGTTTCCAAATGTTTTCTTGATTGATGACCCACCCAGAATTGGTCTTCCACAAAGCTAAACAAATATACCTCAAAGACCTAATACTTGGGTAGAAAGAAAAAAAAAAAAAAATCTGAGTCTGATTTTGTAAAGGCCAGTTTTGACACTTATCAGCTGTGTCAAGCAAATTACCCAACTTTCTCGAGCCTATTTTTTCTTTAATAGCGAAAGCCTAATAACAATAACAAAACATTACCACTACCTGTATCATAAAGAGCTGCAAAATGAGAAAATAATAAAGGTGAAAAAAGTTTCTAAAGCTGTAAAATGCTGTGCAAATGTTAGTGTCCTTCCTTTTTCTGAACCAGAATGACTCATAGTAAAAAAAAAAAGAAATGGTAGTGCAATGTACAAAGCTGTATTCAACCCCTATTCCCATCCTTGTCTCCTAGACTGGGGAAAATATAACCTTACTTTGGAAACAAATGCTCTTACACATCAAGTTCCAAACAGAATTTTTTAAATGTTTTGGTTTGGTTTTTGGTGCTATTCCCACGTCACGGTTCAGGTGATCTCAGAATAATGGTGGGGCTGGGCGGGAAATCAAGAAAACAAGGCGCTAGTCCTCACTTTGCTATTTTCTTCTTATGTTACTTAGGAAACCACAAATTATCATCTGGGTTTCAACTTCTTTACTTTCTTTTTTGAAAGTCTGGAAAATAACTTTTTACAAAAGGGTATAATTTAGAGATGAGATAATGTTTATAAAATGTTTTTAGTTCCCTGAGGACTCCCTCCTCGGTTCCTCATTTCCACGTACATTCATACTTCCAAAATGCTTTCAAGTCCTCCATCAAATTCCCCTTCTTTCTGACCCTTCTGCTTTATTCAGGCAGAATAATTAAGCATTTCAGTATTCTGATTTTTTAAATGTTCTTTTTTAAAACTATATTCAGTTTTTCTTCAACTACCTGAAACTTCAACCAGGATGCACCCTACCCTGGAAGGGGTCGTGGTTCAATACTGGTCCTTATTCCCATGTCAAAAGATTAAGAGAGTCCTCAAGTTCAAAAGTACAAGTACCAAAGCATGTACACAAAAATCCTCATCAATGAGTGCAAGTTCTCAAGGTAACAATGTATGTGGCCAAATGCAAATATATCTCACATGACAGGCTAAGACATTTGATGCAAATATTCAAAAACATTTTCAATAACAGAAAGTATGTAGCCCTCCCACCCACCCCACCCCCTCAGAAGAAATTTCTGTATCAGAAGAATCTCAGAAGAAATATCTTGTGTATCCTTCCAGAGAGTCTATGTCTATACAAGCATAAGAATGACTGTGCCTGTTTTATACAGTTCTTGCGTACTATAGTATACTAAATAATGTTTTTCACTTAATATATCTAGAATATTGTGCTGTATTAAGGTAGAAGTAGATCTACTTTATTCTTTTTAAAGACCGAATAATATTTCCTTATATAGGTATATAATATTTTCAATCAATCACCTACTGATAAACGTTTAGGTTGTTTCCAGTTATTTGTAACTTCAAACAATGCCACAGGGACTTCCCTCGTGGTCCAGTGGGTAAAACTCCGCACTCCCAACGCAGGGGGCGCGGGTTCAATCCCTGGTGGGGGAACTAGATCCCACATGCATGCCGCAACTAAGATCCCGTGTGCTGCAACTAAGACCCAGCGCAGCCAAAAATAAATAAATAAGTTTAAAAAAAAAACAAAACACTAAGATTCCAAGAGCATTTTAAACTATAAAAAACAAAACAAAACAAAAAAAACAATGCTGCAGTAACTATCCTCATATTATGAAAGATAAATTCGTAGAGATAAAATTGCTGCGCTAAACAGCACATACATTTTAAATTTTTATATAAGGTCTATTTTTTCCCCCCAAATAAGTTGTACCCTTTTAAAACCCATTAACAATGTATGAGAGTAGCTATATACTTTTTTGGTCTTAGAGGATAGGGATTCAATTGCTAGTTTCTCTTGTACAGCTCCCAACAGGGCATCATAGCTGTACGAGAGTTTAGAGCTTTCTGATTAGAATGTAAATGTGACTGACAATTCACAGCATTACGCTGAGGTCTTTTCTTTCCAAACAAACATCCAGGAGTCAGGTTTGTTTATTCTAGTCCTCTTACTCATATTTGAAGGACAATCAATTTCTAGAGCAAGACAAGATGGCTTGACAGGTAAATAACTGAGTCTAAAGGGAAAACCGAACACAGATCGCTTATAATTAGTTAACGAATTTGATCACCTTTTGTAAATTTCAAAAGCATCATTTATTTCCTCTTTGAGACCCTAAATAGATTAG